CGTCCTGTGCAGTCTGACCTGAACTCGTTATAATCTCAAGGTCAAATTTTGTCCTACAACGCCAGATTTTTGAAATCCTTGCAGTTTATCGCGCAGAAACATCAGTTTCTTATTTTTTCCCATTGTGTGAGAAATCGTTTCAAACGACTGCAAGAATCTGTTCAAGGACACCATAAAAACACGGTAGACCTGATCGACGGTTACCCCCCTGGCTATAGTCGCAATACTAAACTGACTACTCATAAGTAGCATGATCGCTCTTATATTCCATTTCCATGAATAAAAGACGAGAAACCGTGCATAAAAATGTATTAAATAAAAATAATTAGAGCAAAAAAACAATAAGCACATTAATCGATGGGATAACGCTCACTAATGTGCTGCAAAAAGGTTTGAATGTCCACTTCAATGTTAGAGGGCGAAAAGTGAAACCAGTAGCGATACCGAACTTCGTCTAGATGTTCCCACCTCCTATCACCAACGGAGCCAGAAACTGCCTTCAGTCTCCTCTTTATCCGGCTCCAGTAGCCTTCCACTTTGTTGGTGTGGACTCCTGTCGCCTGGTTGATGAATCCTCGGAAATGGTTCACCGTCAAGTGCGTATATCCCAAGGACGACAGCGTTCGATAGGCTGCCCATTCATCTGAGTAAATGATGGTACCAGGTATAACCCATCGTTGTATGATTGGCAATAATGTGCTTGCCGATCGGGTGTCTACCTTTTCGAAGTATCCCTTTCCTTCGAATCGGTCCTACATCCCAAAAACCCAAACAGTTTTGGATGGTCTTCCTCGTCCATATTTACATTTGTTAACCACAGTTTCGTTGATTTCGACAATTTTGGACGGACCACCGAGCTGTTGGTTGAAGGTAAGCAGCTTGTGGGAACATATCTCGCGACAGAACACGTACCATTGTATCGCTGCCCTTTCGGACAATCGACACATGCTACTGGCGAGCACAACAGGAATATCACATACAAAGTATGCTATTAATTCCACGAGCAGACACGAAGATATCTTTGAATTCTCGAAGAACGAGCCCTTTCTTATTGAAACGGTTTTCTTGCACCGACAGCAGCGAAAAACAAATCCATTGAGTGCCTTTGCCGATTCCTGTAGGGTCATAGCGTGACCGCAGACACAGTCACGCTTTTTTGCTAACAGTTTCCGGTCTTGCAGGTATTCACCACAAGA